AAATTGTCAGGAAACGTGATGTCCTATGACAAAATGGAGGTCATTTTCAGATTCAGTGCACCAAAAAAACATAAAGTTTATGTGGAATAACCAAAACAGCTCTCAAATTTTTTTTTCGCAGACCTGTGAATAGTTTACCAAGGCCAACCAAACCTAAATATTCTTTTTAATACATGATGCCAAAAATTTAAACCAAGAAAATATTTCTTCTTGAATTTTTACCAGTATCTTTGGGAGAGGGGTGGTTACTTTTTAAGAGGAAATTTTAATTTATTTAGTGTTGTTTAGTGACCACTTGAACCAGATAGTAGTTACAAATACAACAGAATGCCATATTTGCGGTTTGAAGACAAAATCAGGACATTCTCTAATTTAAACAATTGCAATTTGGGAAATCCATCAGCTAATAGAAAAGTACAGAAGGTTCATTTGGTTTTCAGGGCGTGACTTTATTTTCAGTTTAGCAACGATTATATATTTGATATATATGCAGCTCTATGTATTATTTTCATATATGCATTTTTCATATTAGTCAATGTTGTGCTTTTTTAATGGCATGAATGAAAATAATGAAAGGTATGAATTAATGTCTTATCTTACAAGGAAAGAAGAGCCTTTACTTATCCTTGAAATTCTGCACAAATTATCAGAATCCAAAAGATTTGATATGGCAGTTATGTTTATGTCAGAGTCAGAGAAAAAAAGTAAGTAAAACACATTACTGGGTCATTATTAAAATCAACTGGCTTGATAGTTTAGAGATTAGTATAAATATTGCCAATATGTCACTATTCCAGATATATTAAAAACATGTATTATAATCTTTTTCCACAGAAACCTTTCTGTCCCTGAAAATATTTGAAAGTATTTTTTTCAGAACAAACTATAAAAAGATTTGTTGGGTCTGTGCAATTCTTCTCTAGATCCCTTTGAGTATCTTTTCTTTCTGTTTAAATTGGAAGATAATAAAGAAACAAAGAACCAAAAACGAAGAATGGCCAAGCCATCTTCTGCCTCTTTTTTGTACAATTATATCTGTATAGCAGTGGATTGTATTGTTCATAAAGTCAAGTTTATGGAAATATTACAATTCATTCCAAGTTTAATATGACTCTTAATTCAGACTCTTTGCAACTTATTTATTGTTTTTTAAAATATATAAATTGAAGAACGATATCATTTACTAAATGCTAAATCTATTTTTAATTTAAACATAATGTAATAACGGATTTCTCTTTTGTTATAGCTGTACGTTTTTTATTTGATCATTTGGAACAATCTCATTTGGAAGATTCTCCTATTAAACAACTCAAGATAAAATACAGCATTTAATTTAAATACTTTTTATATCTCTATAGCAGATTATATACTGCTTTGGAAGGACAGTTCCATATAGATGATTATGACAGAGAATTTCAAGTTCATTCAGCTTTTTTGTTATGAATTGATTCACCATGTTTTGCTCGATTTTTATTTATTCTTTTCATTTTGAACATTCTGTAGAAACAAGATTGATAGTTGCTACAATATTTATCAAATTCCATTCTTTATTAGTTGTGTGTTAAAAATTATATATTTTTATTCGTATAAATAAATTCACAAATGTTACATTATTTCAATCTTTTTTTTATTTGCAATACTTGCAGTATTTCTTGGCAGAATTTCAAGCTTAGACAAGTGAAAAATCACTTTTAAAAAACTCTGACATGTAATGTTTCTCTTATTTTTATTATTTAGTCTTGATATCTTTTAAGAACATTTGCTTGCTGTTAAAATTTCACTAATTATGATTTTGACTAGGTCAGCTTCTTCTTTGGAGACAGAACCACTATCTATACTTGATTGTAATGCTTTAGGTGTATATTCTTTAAACAAGGAATAAGATTTTACTTCTGAGTGCCATGATAGGATGAATTAAAATAGAGGGAATTACTTTTTAAACGTTATAGCTAAATGTGATGTTTATATAGTAAACCAACTTGTGACACATTGGGTAATCCTTTCAGGCATATTTCCTCATTATTTATCCCACCTTTGTATACCTCAAGATATCGAACATACCTAATATTCCTTCCTCCTCCTTCACAACAACAACACTGTTCCTACACAATAACAGCCCTTTGTCTACAACAACAACAACCCTGGGGAGTAAGTTGGCATGAAAGAGAGTGACTGGCCCAAAGTTACCCAGCTGTTTTTCATGCTAAGGCATGATTTAAACTCAGTCTCCCTGTCAGACCTGTTCCAATATGATCCCTTAGGAAAGAAAGACTCCATTTGGTTGAAGTGAAAGGTTCTTTTACTAAAAAATGTTGACTGCAGTAAAGTCAGGCTAGATCTGGGTTTCCCACACAAAATATAAGAAAGGTTTCCCAGTTCATTTTTAGCCAATCGGAACTTGCCGAAGAGTTTTGAGAATGCTGAGATGTTTTGGGATAATCCACACTTTTTCTCAGGGTGCCTGGCTTTGTATACAAACTGGTTCCGAGCTTGACTGATTTTTATCACCTGTCATTCCCCCATCCCTATTTCCCTTCAGGTACACAAACAGCATTATTGTCCATCTATCTTCCCTCCCTCCTTCTAGTCTTTGATGACAGGATGCTTGTGAGATGCCAAACTGAATTTGGCAGACCTGACATTCTGCCCCCCTTGGCAGAGACATTGGTCCTGTAAAGAAAAAAGGGGGAGGGAGAGAAACAGAAATTTTCAAATGAGCAGATATTCAGTAAGGTTTATCTGGGTAATGTTCATGGATTTTTTTAAGCACTCTGGAGGCTTTCATATGTTTAATAATATCAACCCATTCAGTCTCTGAGAGTGGGAAGGCTTTCCATATTATCAAGTACTGGATTCCCCTCCCCGATGCATATGGGAGTCTAAAATGTATTTGACTTCCAAGTGTTGCTCTCCCTCAATCATAATGGGGCCGAGAGGTGGTTGTGTGTGACTCAGGACATAGGGAAGATGTAATCTCTGGTTTCAGTAGGCTGCAATGAAATACCGGGTGTACACGCGTTTTTGGCAAAATTCTATAGTCACTGGGTTAACTGGCTCAAGGTCTATAGTCACTGGGTTAATAATCCTTTTTATGGGGAAAGATCCAATGTATTTCAGCCCCAATTTTTTTGGACAGTTGTCTAGATTGTAAGAATTTGACTGGATGGATGGATGATATAGTCAACCTTTCTTATATTCGGTTGAGATGATCTCTCCAGTTGGATGAATGTGCGGGATAGAATGAGTAGCTAGAAAAGTCCTGGAAGGACCTGGGCCAAGTCACACAAGACTAAAAATAAAAAGCAGCCAATGCTCTCCACTGAAACCACACTATTTCTCAACAGTATTCCTTAAAAGAACTGCATTCATGGAAGTTTTCTTCAAGTAAATGCATACCAGCACATCCTTAAAGGCACCAGGAAAAATCCCTTCCCTCTCGCCATACATGCCCAAGAAAGCATTCATTACTTCCCAGAACCAGCTACTGTTTGGGGAGTTAGTACTTATGATTATTAATAACATCTATGTGTATATCCATTCCTGAAATATTCATGTTCCTTATAGGAATGACTCAGGTGCACAAAATCCTTTTTTTAATTACAAGAGTTTTGTTCTCAGGTTGTGGGGGAGGCAGAATGATGTTTAATTAAATAGTTTAGTAAACTCAGAATTTTCTAAATCAATTAAAATGATGGCTTAGACTTTCTACACATTGTGATGTTACTCAGTGTTAACTTTACAGAAAGTTGCTGCTGCTGCTACCTGTAACGTAAGAAAAATAACTGAAATTTTTATAGAACTGAATTTATATATGTATGTATGTATGTATGTATATGTGTGTGTGTGTATATATATATATATATGTTGTATTTGTGCTGATAAATAAATAAAGGGAGACTAGTATAGATCTATTTCAAGCTATTTAGCTCTCATCAGCTAGCCATACCCTTACTGGGATTTGAACCTGGGCTATATTACATACTAGGCAGACTTCTTAGCCATTAGGCCACAGGCTCTTATCCATTATCAGCGAAGCCAGGGTGAAAGGTATCTATTAGATTTCTTTTACAACCCCCGGTATGCCCAAATATGGGAGGAAGATCACTACATCCATTCTCTGTCCTTCGGCTCTTCACAAGAGACCATCCAGGCAGAAACCCAATATTTTTACTGTTGCCTTTTTGTTACATTTTGTTGTATTTGTGCTGATAAATAAATAAATTATTTATCAGCAGTGAGCTAAATAGCTTGAAATAGATCTATACTAGTCTCCCTTTATTTATTTATCAGCATACCCTTTATTTATTTATATATATATCTTGTTCTGCCGTACTGTCTTCTACTGTACAATGCAGTGGAGTTGCCATGGTAACGGCTTCACGGTACTACACAAGGGGGCTCCCTCTGCTAAGAGGGAAAATCCAACATTAGAATTTATGTTTGGTCCAGAGCAGGGGTGAAATGCTCTGTACTTGTTCGCTTCGCTACTGGTTTGCTTCACGCATACATGTGCACCAAACGCGCACTTCATGCACATGCACACTGCAGGAATTAAGGAGCCTTTTCTGAGTCTGCAAAGGTAAGTAGAACAGCAAGGGGGGGAACAGCTTTGCCGCACAATTTAGATTCTCTAGAAAGCAGGATTTCCTACTTTCTAGCTAATATAAATTATGCGGCACAGCTGATTGTTGCATAGCTGATCATCGGAACTACCGGTTCACCCGAACCGATAGCATTTTTTACTACTGGTTCGGGCAAACAGGCCCAAACCAGTAGCATTTCACCCCTGGTCCGGACATTTTCCCCCTATAAATAAATGCCCAGGCAATGCTAAGTTATAGGTTACTCTTCAATAAAATGCTTTGTATAATCAAAAACATTATTTAATGGACCCTCTATTAGGATCCCTGTTTGTTTAAAATCTTTTTATTTATGCCTTAGTTGACTGGATAATTCTGGAAATATACAAATCTTAAAAATTGTCAAGGTTGAGAAACCCTGTCTTAGACTTTCATTTTCAAAGTAACTGCATATTTTCTATTTTCTCATTAGTCAACTATCCAATTAATTTCTATTTCTCAGCAAAATTCAAGCTAGATATGCTAAAAGAAATGACACTGTCTACCATATTTTTTCTGAGAGTTGATAATAAAATGTAAGCAATAAAATTACTTTATTAGAATAATATATACTCTATGTGTATGTATTATATATAACAAAAAATATAAAAATCTTCAAAGAACAACCTCAGTAACAAGATCCTAAGAAGGTAATCATGCCATCCAATTCAGAAGAAAATATTTGTGGTTCCTCTGAAGAGAAGACAGGTTCCAGAAACAAGAAGCATGTAAGATACTGTCTTTTTTCTGTATAATTTTTCTTTAAGACATTCTTTTAACTAAGAACTATTGTTTTTTTTGTCTTAAGATTATGCGATTAATTGTTTTTGGTTTTACCTTGCCTGTCTGTTCATGCTTCCAAATTCCACAACTGTTGCCTAGAATTTACTGAGGCAAAGCACCATATTAACTTTTCAATTCCATTACAGAAGTATAGAATTGACAGATGAGACTCAGCTCTTCTAGCAGATAGTTTTGTATGTTTTTTAGCTCAGTGTTTCCCATTTTCAGTATGTATTTTTCTAAAATTATGTTTTATATTTTATTTCACCTCCTGATTCTGAATCTATAAAATAAATTGAAATGTATGAGGCTTACTGATGTGAATTAATTAAACTTAAGAATAGTAATATGTTTGCAAATGAGCAAAGGAACCATCTATTTTTCTTAATCAGGCTCAATTATCCTGAAGTTCCTAAAGAGTTGAATAGCTAGGGAAGTGACTAAAATATTCTGGTTTGATTGTAGTTGTAAAACCTTCTTGGTAGGAGTTAACGTAACATATTCTTTAATAGTGTGATCCTATTTTTGAATTATGCCCACTGTATTGGAATAGATTCATCTCCCAATTATGCCTGCCAAAGAACATAATGTTAAGCCAGAGAAACATTGCTATGGCCACAGAATAATATGTATTTCCCCGCATTCTGTCAGCTTTGACCTTTAAAAAGTTCACTTCCTAAATATTTCAGAAAGAGAAAATGAAATTGTGATTTATTAACTGAAAGAAGGAGAGGCAGCATATAATTTTTATGAGCAAATAGGAAATTTAGCTGGACAAGATCAGTAAACGTAACTAGAAATTTTACATTTGATTTCTGGAAAATGTTTAACTATGGTACTGTACATATATTTGAAGGATCATTTTGCTTCAATAAAAGACTTGAGCACAGTAGCTTTTCGTAATATCATTTCAAAGAATTGCAGAGCACAGTAGCTTCAGTACTCTTCTTTATCGAACCAAAATAGACAATGTAAACAGACTTAGAATCGTCTCTTCTTCCCCATCTTCCTTTCCACTTTCTTTCAAGCAGCAAGTCACAGGTGTAATCTGGAAAGGAAACACTGCTGAACCATTGAAAAGTGCAGGTGGTGGCTATTCACCCTCTTTCTGCTTCTCCCGGGTCTTTGATTGGGTGTTTCTTCTAGAGCAGAAGCAAAGAGCCTCTTCCACTCAAGATTTCTCTCTGTCTTCTAATATTTTTCCAGAGCAG